GCAATTTGTGGATACCACGCCAAAAAAATTGTTCGTCTTTTAAAGCAAACCAACCAGACACCCAATTTTCGACCTCCTCGTAGGAATCAAAGTGATGCTCAGCCAATGCGTGTCCCATCGATGAAAACAAATAGTAGTCGTATCTACCATATATATGGTATATGGTATCTTATATATTATATAGCATATGCAAAGCATTAATACAGATACCTATCTGAAAATTCCACTGTATTTGCAAAGTATGTCTCTATATATAGAATAGAGAATAAAGTATTAAAGAATAAATGTCGTAATTAATTTATATAAAAACTATTAATGTTGCATCCAATCAACAAGCAAACACTCAAGCCAAACCATTGTAGAAAACTGGCCTTGACAACGACCTACTTATAGTTGAAGACAGAAATACAGTCGTACTCGTATACGGAAAAAAAGAAACCCCTAATAAGCTGTATTTCATTATTATATGATAATTAAGAAATCATTAAATTAATTAGTGTATAAATTAGCAAATTATTTAATTGAATAATCATTTAATGGTAATGGAAAGCATTTACTTGAAAAATAAAACGCATAATTAAACCGGAGAAAGGCAAACCTTGTCGGTGAGGTTGCTTGAACATTTTTATGGAAAGCAAAACTCATTGAGAAATCCAAAATATATGGAAACTGGTTGCATTGCTCAAGCACAAAGAAAAACATAAACAATATAATTTTGAACTTATTTGTTTATTTATTTTGTTTTAAATTTAAAAATAAATTTAATTTTATTTAAAAATTTCTTGGGGATTTTGTATTTTTCCTGTTCAATTAACATCGAAAATCACTTTGTGTTGAGAAATAGAAAATAATCTTTTACGTCAATAATTTTTAAGATTTAAATCAAATACATAACTAAATAAAAATTATTATCAATTTATTCGATCTTGTGATTTGTATTAGATTAGATGCAAGAATTTAAAAATTGATGAAACTTAGTTTTTTAAGTGGACTAGTATTTTTTGTGTGTACAAAAACCTCATCGAACCAGCGAAATGATTAAACTCGTTGGCCGTAAGCCACTCCTACCACTTTGGGGAATGTAACGATACCTTATATTTTTTAAACTCTTTGTAGATTTTATAGTATATAGAATAGTCAATACACTCAATTTCTGACAAAAAACTATTGAGCATTTTTTTAAGTTTTTTTAAAAGGTATTTTTAGATCAGACCTTAGTGAACTTCAAAGTCAGATCCTATATGCCGTAGATCTGTTATACACTTCCTGTGCTATTTATCAGTGCAGTCAAAAGAAAAATGAATTGTATTGAGTATTAAATCTTATTTGTTCTTATTAAAGTCATAGTAGAAGTGTATTTAAATCTGATTTTGTTCCAAGTACGGCCAGACCTACGTCGCGGTTACACCCGTAGACAGTGATGACCAAGTGCCGTTCAACACTTCCAAAAGGGACATCACAAGCAGATTCCTGTGGGCTATAACAACAGTAACAACAAAGCAACACTAACTGAACTTGATAGTAAATCTATATATTTTATAGATAAAAACTAATTATAATATTTTGTTTTAAATTTTTTTCACCCATTTCGGAACATCGTTTGGTACATCACACGGCTAGTTTTGAATATTTTTTAATATTCAAAGAATATTTTATATTTTTTAAGTACAAAGAAAGTGAGAGTAATATTTCAAATAAATATTAAACATTTCTCATACTATTTACTATAGAAATTTCACCATAAAATTTCAAGTCTGAAATTGCCTGGTACTTAATGGGTTAACTTGTTATGTCGAAAATATTATAAAGTAGGTTTTGTTTTTTCAGAATTTTAACTTTTATTTCGATCGTTGTTTTTAGTATATTCCTATACGTATTTCGTCAAATTCGATTTTGCCTTCATCAGGAGAATTCCTTATATTGGAATATTAGGAATTCTCCTGATGAAGGCGAAAGCGAAAACAAAAACAAAAACGATCGACATAAAAGTTAAAATTCTGAAAAAAAAACCCCAACTTTATAATTATAATATATTAATAAATAGTTATTACTCTAAACTTCTATAGCATATTTTTCTTCTGCCTAAGTGTAGCTCTCTAGAGTTATATTTATAATTATCAATAGTTATCACTCTAAACTTCTAGAGCATATTTTTATTCCGCCTAAATATAGCTCTCTAGAACTATATTTATATTTATAATTATAAATAGTTATCACTCTAAACTTCTATAGCATATTTTTCTTCGGCCTTAGTATAGCTCTCTGGAGTTATATTTATAATTATCAATAGTTATCACTCTAAACTTCTAGAGCATATTTTTATTCCGCCTAAATATAGCTCTCTAGAACTATATTTATATTTATAATTATAAATAGTTATCACTCTAAACTTCTATAGCATATTTTTCTTCGGCCTTAGTATAGCTCTCTGGAGTTATATTTATAATTATCAATAGTTATCACTCTAAACTTCTAGAGCATATTTTTATTCCGCCTAAATATAGCTCTCTAGAACTATATTTATATTTATAATTATAAATAGTTATCACTCTAAACTTCTATAGCATATTTTTCTTCTACCTAAGTATAGCTCTCTAGAACTATATTTATATTTATAGTTATAAACAGTTATAACTCTAAACTTCTATAGCATATTTTTCTTCTGCCTAAGTATAGCTCTCTAGAGTTATATTTATAATTATCAATAGTTATCACTCTAAACTTCTATAACATATTTTTCTTCTGCCTAAGTATAGCTCTCTAGAACTATATTTATATTTATAATTATAAACAGTTATCACTCTAAACTTCTATAGCATATTTTTCTTCTGCCTAAGTATAGCTCTCTAGAGTTATATTTATAATTATCAATAGTTATCACTCTAAACTTCTATAACATATTTTTCTTCTGCCTAAGTATAGCTCTCTAGAACTATATTTATATTTATAATTATCAATAGTTATCACTCTAAACTTCTATAGCATATTTTTCTTCTGCCTAAGTATAGCTCTCTAGAGTTATATTTATAATTATCAATAATTATCACTCTAAACTTCTATAGCATATTTTTCTTCTACCTAAGTATAGCTCTGTAGAGTTATATTTATAATTATCAATAGTTATCACTCTAAACTTCTATAGCATATTTTTCTTCTACCTAAGTATAGCTCTCTAGAACTATATTTATATTTATAGTTATAAACAGTTATAACTCTAAACTTCTATAGCATATTTTTCTTCTGCCTAAGTATAGCTCTCTAGAGTTATATTTATAATTATCAATAGTTATCACTCTAAACTTCTATAACATATTTTTCTTTTGCCTAAGTATAGCTCTCTAGAGCAATATTTATATTTATAGTTATAAACAGTTATAACTCTAAACTTCTATAACATATTTTTCTTCCGCCTAAGTATAGCTCTCTAGAGTTATATTTATAATTATCAATAGTTATCACTCTAAACTTCTATAACATATTTTTCTTCTGCCTAAGTATAGCTCTCTAGAACTATATTTATATTTATAATTATCAATAGTTATCACTCTAAACTTCTATAGCATATTTTTCTTCTGCCTAAGTATAGCTCTCTAGAGTTATATTTATAATTATCAATAGTTATCACTCTAAACTTCTATAACATATTTTTCTTCTGCCTAAGTATAGCTCTCTAGAACTATATTTATATTTATAATTATCAATAGTTATCACTCTAAACTTCTATAGCATATTTTTCTTCTGCCTAAGTATAGCTCTCTAGAGTTATATTTATAATTATCAATAGTTATCACTCTAAACTTCTATAACATATTTTTCTTCTACCTAAGTATAGCTCTCTAGAACTATATTTATATTTATAATTATAAATAGTTATCACTCTAAACTTCTATAGCATATTTTTCTTCGGCCTTAGTATAGCTCTCTAGAAATGCCTTATAAATAGACTATTGAGACCAAGAAACATAAACTCAACCACAATGGGAATTGTTGCGATAACAATAAAAAAAATCTTAACCGCAATAAACATAAATGTTAACTAAACAATCAACAAATAATATAAACATTTTTGAAACATAATATATTTTATATTGTGTGTTTACATATCATATATTTTTTTATATATACATACGCTTCAACCCCTTTCTCATTTAACGCGCAACGAGTCTTCGGTTATCAGGTCAAGGTCAACAGCATGCACAAAATAAATAAAGTATTTTTTTTAAATGGTTTGATAGACAGGAAATCAGATAAACAATATAAATTTAAAAATAATTTTATAAACATAAATATAGTTATAGAATGTTATAAAATTATTAAATATTATAAACGAGACAATTTTTCGTTTGAGGGTAAGTATGGCGTTTGACGTATGCATTGCAACATATTTATTATTGCCTAGCCAAGTGTTTATTTTAATTAATAATTATAATAATTATTATATATGTTTATAAAAAAATATTGTTTTTTTTTTTTAACTTACATCCAAAATATGTGTAATCTATTCATTTTACAAACAATATTTTGTTGAAAATTTTGTTTTTTTTAATGCAGAGAAAAACTTAAGATGCTTGCTCAACACGATTGTTTTATTTACCACACATTCACGCATTCACACATGCATTGCGCTTCGTGGTGAGTATCGATTTTAAGGAAATTGTTTACATAAAAGAAACGAGTTTGTTTAACGAAATTTTCGTTTGCCAACGCAAATTCGTTATGAATATTCAGAAACAATGGTATATATGTAAACAAAACATTCTGGTTTAATAAATAATAACAATTATTTACAACAACTACTAGAAGATATACAACTACTAGAAATAATTAGAAAATCATTGTTTTGGTATTTCTTCAAAAAACTCAACGAGGAGAAGTTATATAAAACCCAAATGCTTTCTATTTTTGTTTTGCAACTTTAGACATTTCTTTATATTGTCTTTTTTTATAAATATATTCATTGTTTTGTGTTTCTTCTTTTGTTTAGTTGCATGTTTACTTACGTCAAGTTATCTTTTGGCACAATTTCCACATCGTCCAAAGAGTTAATATCGACGTCCATTTCTGAGGTAAGCTCCTGCTCGCTATCACTGACCACAATAACTTCGTCCATTTAATTTTAAATTCCAAAGACTATTATCTTTTTTTTTGTTTAGTATATACTTGTTTGTTTTGTTTATCTTGTTTATTTTTATTTAATATAAGACTTTTTTGCAATTTTGTTAAAGCCTTTAGCGGGTATGTGTTGTTGTACGAGTAAGTGCGCGTCTATGAACTCGTTTGGAAAGAAACGATTTGATTTTAGCAAGCAAAAAAAAATGTTTAGCACAAAATAGCTCCAAAAAGCACACGCGTCCAAATCAAAGAAATATGACGAGAAATTTTCGGAACACTTGTTTTAATTTTACTGTTAGGCGCTATAATTCTGTAAAGTTTATTTTATCTAAACATATATATGTACGTAGGAATATGTATTTATAGACGATCTTAATTTGTTATTAATAATTTGTAGTTGCATAAATTAAATAAAATTTAACTAACAGTTCTTTCCAACGACGCCGCACTGCTCCAACACGTTCGTTTTTGCTGAGTAAAATCGAATGCAAGAAAAATGTTAAACATATGTTGTAATTGTATAGAAACACGTTTAGATTCCACATAAAATACAACATGCCATCCACTTGCCATCCACACACAACTGTCAAATCATTTATGCGCTTTCCAAATTTTTTTCATATTTCCAAAATGACAGCGAAGTATGTCAACGGATTACGTTCATAAAATTTACGATATGTAAATAATTATTTTAATTAATAAAATTCTTTTATTGAAATTCATAAATATGAAATAAAAGCAAAAAAAAAATGTTTTTTAAAAGATGTTTTTGTGTAAATAATATTTGATATTTATATTTAAAAACGCATATATATCAGTTTCTTGTGTAGCAAACTATATCGTAAAAACTAGAGAATGCAGCCCAAGATAAATATTTAGTCATATATGTATATATTTATAGTCCTATAAAAATACTATTTAATATTATTTAAAAAATAAACATTTTTTGAGAGATGTTTTTATGTAAATAATATCTGGTTTTTGTATTTAGAAACGCTTGTGTAGAAAACTATATCGTAAAACTAGAGAATGCAGCCCAAGATAAATATTTAGTCACATGTGTATATATTTATAATCCTATAAAAATATTATTTAATATTATTTAAAAAAATAAACGTTTTTTGAAAGATGTTTTTATGTAAATAATATCTGATTTTTGTATTTAGAAACGCATATAACCAGTTTCTTGTGTAGAAAACTATATCGTGAAACTAGAGAATGCTAGAGAAACTAGAGAAAGAAAAAAATCCCTTTTCTTGCTTCATTATAGAACTAACTCAAAAACTAACAATGAAAAGAGATCAATAACAATTTACAAATTAATAAATAGTAGAGCAAAAAAGATTATAAAACAAAAAACAAGAGAGAAAAAAAAATTAAATCGAAAAAATAATTTAGGATTAAGAATTTAGAACAGATAACTAAATATTGCAAACAGAAAGGATATTAAAAAAATAACAATTAAGAAATAGAATTAATTGTCAGAATGAATGACGTCAAGGTAATTCATTAATCTGCAGTTTCTTGAAAGCTCCTACTCTATTGTGTTTCTGCTTACCCCTAAAAGCGAGTTCCATACTCTAACATAATGGATAAAGAAAAAACCTGCTGTGAAAGCAAAGTTAAATCTGAGAATAATAAAAAAAAGAGTTCTATAGGAACGTGATTGTTGCAGACAATTGAAAACGTATTCAGGGAAATTAGCAATAAACAATTTAAACAGAAACAAACAGACACGAATTTTCATAAATTGCTCAATGTTGCAAATGTTGCATTTATATTTCTTAATTGCTCATTTACTATGATGAGATACAATCGTTCTAATTTTCTATATGCCCTAACGCCTCCTTCATCATTCAATACTATCGCACACCGTTCAGCTGATACAGCCATTCATGCACACTTCTTTATTTATTGCGATAACGCCCTCTATTTCTGAGTGAGAAGCACCAGCGCCACCTACCTGCGAGTAACGACCATATCCAAACATACTTGTTGGACATCATATTCTTATACGAATATAAATTAATAAAAAAAATACAGTTTTTGAAATATCTTCCTTTTTGTATTTAAAAACGCATATAACCAATTTCTTTCAGAAAGCTATAGCGTAAAGACTAGAGTTAACAACCCAAGATAAGTATTTAATCACATATCAAATACTAGTCAGACTACAAAGCTGAGGATGCGTAAGAGCACACGTGTGATGAAATTATGATCAATGCTACACTTCTTTCACTATACATAAACCGACATTTTTGGTAAAGAAATGGTCACTCTTAATTCATAGAGATTTAAGGACTTCGATATCTATTGCTCAATGACCATAATGAAGTTCTATTAATTATTCCGAGCATTACTTTAAACTTTAACACCAAAACTCCCACAACAAGTGCTTAGGAAGCAGATTTGATTATAACACAAGGAAATATAACTATTCTGATAACTGATGGGTCAAAAATCGGAACACAAGTCTACAACACTTGTTACATAGAACCAAAGATACATAAATCTATAAATCTTATCGCATTTGCAATTCAATCGGAAGTATGTATTTGACATTAACCGCAACTGTTCTATAGTTGCAAATATGAACTTCAAGAAAAAGGATGACTATATTCTTACAGATAAAAATCTATTACTCAATAATATAAAATTTTGGAAAAATGTGTTGTATATATACAGAAATTATATGTACGTATGCCAGTTGAAAATTGCACAAAGCCAGGCTCTGAGAAAACTTTTCAAGGTGTCATAGTACATTAGGAGGAATGACATCCTCAGCGACCTCAAGATTGATCCGATCAAAAAATACATAAAGGATAGAACCCTGAAACTGTTTACGAATACTGACAGGCTTACCAACGCTGCGTTATCAAATCTATGTCCGTACATACCACGTACCGGCAATAATATTTTTTTATATTAAATAATAGTTTATTATAATATTTTTATAACTTACAGTGTTACCGACATTCGTGGCATCTTTTTGAATTTTCGTGCTCCCCAAAAAAGTGTGATTAATAATTTTATTATTTCGAACAACATTTCCAGACTTTGCAGAGAATTTTGCTGTTAAAATTTATGCTGTAACTTTCCATGTAAATTAAAGGCCAAAACTGAATTTAAAACTAAATTTTTTCAAAACAAAAAGAAAATTTTAAACAATTCAAAATAAGCATACTGTGTGATATTGACCAATTAATATTTGGTTTGTTCCACATAGTTTTCAAGTAAAAATCAAGTAAAGTTGAAAATGAGAATAAAATCATAAATTCTCTAGGAGAAAAGTAATGGGCGCATAAAGTACGGGAACGGTTTCAAGTATAAATCTAGTTAGTCATATGTTTTTATTTTTACTGACCGTTTTATCTGAATGAAGAAATAATGATTTTTAAATTTTAAAATTATTTTTGTATTAATTTAAATTTTTATTTAAATTTAAATATATTTAAATTTACTCATTATCACTCGTAACAGTTATATATAATAAACAAACTCCTTTGTCATCTGACTGGAACTTTTCATTTTATTCCAAAAACTATTCACAATAGATCAGTTTTAAGATTTGGCACCATTGTAGTTTCAGGAAAGTGGACTTATTTCTGCGAATTTTGTTTTGGGTTTGCATGTTAATTGTTAAGCGACACGTGTTCTATTGAAGCATCCATGTCAAAAGAATTCACCTATAGTAATCGCAAAACAATAATTACATTTTAACAAACAATATACTAAGTTTTTTTTGACTAACACAGTACATTTGAAAGTAATTGGCAATGTATTATATGTTTTTTTCCGGTAGGTAAAATGTTTTTTGTTTATTTGTTCGCAAGTTAAAAAATAGTTGAACCTAACATTAAAATCTATTTTTTATGAAAACTTGACATACCATAAAACTAAATATGACATGATTAGATCGATGATGTAGAAAATTTTATTTTATGAACGTTTATTTTATTTTCTGAAATTTTTATTTGTTATTCACGTTTTATATCTAGCACTGTATATTATATAAAAAAATCGCATTGCCAACTAAACTTTTCGTAATTTATGTTTCACTTTTATGTTGTATATATATTCTACATTAGCCGTTATTTTTTCTTTCAGAGTTGTAAAAAAACAGCATTAAGTGTGGTTGAAACAAATTGGCATCACTTTTAATGCTTATTTTTGACATATGCGTTTTGTTGTGCTGGGTACAATATAATATATAAAAATTGAAAACAATTAAAATTAATTAATTTAAATAAAAGAAAACAATATGAGCATTAGAATTGCAATAGTTAGCATTTTTATTTTATATATATAAATTAATTAATTTATATATGTATGCGAATTTATTAGTAAATGAAATGCTCATATAATTTTAACGGATGACAGGAATTTTGAAACATATTTACAGGAAACATTCACAATTGATTAATTTTTGAATTTGGCTGCACTAAGACTTAAGACTTAAAATTTTTGCGAGTAAAACCTTACTCTGACGATTTTAAAACCATTGTTGTTGCTAAACATGTTTAATTTCGTAAGTTGCAAGTATTTTTTTTGCAACTTTGAAAAAAAAATTACGTCTATTGAACCAGAATATGAATTAATATGATATAAAAATAATTTATTTTTATTTCGTTTCATTTTGACGTATGCGGTACATATATTTCACAAATCCATTTTAGTATTGCCTTATGCATAATAAAAATTTTATAATATTCATTATTATGATATATAATATCTAATCGAGCTTTATACGGCGTTTACATTGGCCGAAAATGGCTCATTTTGAATGACTCATTTGAAAGTGTTTACATTCGTTGTATTTCATTCGTTCTCATGGTAACAATTCAAACTGAAATAAAACTACTAAACATTTGTTTATCTTTTTTTGTAAATATGTCAAAACAGCTTTTACAAACTGTCAAAATGCCATGAAGAGCTTTCATTTAGGGTATGTTCAATAGATTCCTTTGCATTTGGAACATATGTGGAATGCATTCGAACGTCATTCATACAGAATGTGAGAAAATTGCTCATTTTGTGCTTGAAATTTTATATGCAAGAATGAGCCATTCGATACTCATTTTCGATTTTTGACCAAAATGAGCCATTTTCGGCCAATGTAAACGCCGTATTACTTTCGTAAGTATGTCACAACAGAATAACATGAAAGCAGCACTACTTTTGATGGCAACTCTAGAAGAACTTATATATATGTTTAGCTTAACATATATATGTAAAACACGCAATAATATTTAAAGTTAAAATTTCGTAAAGGAATAATAATTATTTCCAATTATAGGTAAAAGTATTTTATTTTTTACATAATTGTGAATAAAATTGGAATTTTCATGCTTTTTCAAGAATTGAGTATAATTTTTTAATTTCAGTAAATTAAAAAAAATGGAGTATTATTTGACAAATATTCTTTGACAGTTAACTGAAAATATTGTACGTGCTTTCAAAAAATATTCACAATAGACGAGTTTTTAGTCATGGCAACCATGCGATTTGAGCTGCTTATTAGTTAAGCAGTTTCAAAAAGGTTGCCAACTAAACTAAAATAAGCAAGCAGTGCAGTTATTTCGTATGTTATTTTTAAAATAAGCGGTTGTTTTTTATTGATATGCTTACAAAAGAAAAAGCCTAATATTGTATTCCAAATATTATTGTGACATGTTAAGTTATTATTTTAATGTTAATTTTGGGGAATTATAAATAGTTATAATTCACTGAATTTATAATTATATAATGTTAATAAATATTAATTCATATTTAATTATATCAAAAAAAGATATTGATTTCCTTTGTTCCTTTGTATACAGAAATTCACAATAGAATTATTTACAAGCAAAAAACACATTAGGTGTATTCAGGCAACTGATTTTTTGTTTAGTTGATTCAAAAACTTCATATAAAAAAAATTTAGCATTTTGATGTTAATCAGTTGCTTGAACGACCCAAAATGCGTAATCTGATTAGTTTGTTGTGTGTAAATTCCTTGGCAGCACTCGCATCAACAGCAAAAGCAAAACATACGTTAACAGTGAAAATTGTTTACTCACAATTCAAACAGCTGAGAGAGATAGCTAACAAATTTCTATACAAAAGTTCATTTTAAGTTATTATTACTACACTTGGGACTGGCAGCACTATTAATCAAATTTGTACTAATCTGAGAATCACCGAAATAGTTGATTCCCTGCTTAGTTTCATTTTTGTGTGCAAATTTTTGTTGTAATCAACTACTAAGCAACTAATCAGTTGCCTGAATAGCCCTATTATTTCAAATAATACCGTTCTTTGCTTTATTCTTTGTTTACAAGCAAATAATTCAAGTAAAACACAAGTAAAGTAAGAACTGAGAGAGTAATACAAATAAAGTGCCAAATGTCGCTCTTTACACAGATTTTCATGGAACAGTTTTGTGTAAAATCTGGTGAGAACACCAGTGCACCAATAAACAATACAAGAATTTAAATTCAAACCAAAACAGCTGACTCATATATCAACACAAATTTTACTTGAAATAAAATATATGAGTAAAGTCTGTGTAACATTTTTAAATTTCGACAGGGATGTTACGCTTTCTCAGATGCTTTCATTTACTCGAAAATTTGCTGGTGGAATGAACTTGTGTATACACACTGTTACTCAAAGTTACTACGAGTAGCTCATGGAATAGATCTATTATGAATTTATTGATTTAAGTGTAAGATTGATTTGCAGCCATTCTCCAGATCAAGACACCGTATGTCCATATTGGTTTTAAAATAACTTTATATAAAAGTACTTTATTGTTCAGTGATAACTTCAAATTTTGGCAAAGAAGCAAGTACATGGAGCGCATTTTCAGACCCAGTTGCTTGCGTTTCATAAATATATAGTGTTTCCAGGTGAGACCCCGATCAAGATGAACACCTAGATACTTCACGTGATAGGATTGTGGTAGTACGTTATTATTTAATGTGACTGGTGGGGCTTGTTTGGTGATTTTAATACATTTTTTGTCATAAGATAAAAACGTATTATCACTGGTATATATCAATAATTGCATTCCATTTTTTTTTTTATATATGCATTTCACATTGAACCAATACGTGAACTAGCCAAATTGCTGGTTCCCTATGTTAGTTGATGAGATCATTTTTTGCTAAAACCCATTACATATACAATACCTAACCATCTAGCAAACCAGCCATCGATAAAACAGACGCCAAATAAAAGTTTGAATAAATTGGAAAGATATTTCATTGGGTCAAAGTGACAGTTACTTTTCTATTGTGAATGAGCAACCAAAAATAAAATTTAGAATATGTCATGGCTTCTAAAAAATATTTTATTTAATTTTCACTCATTTTTACATTAACAATATTAATTACAGGCCAATATGGTGATTATTCTTAGTAATTTCATTTGATTATTATTTGAAATTGAAAAGTACCTATAGGTACGACTTATATATATATATATATTTATTTATTTATTTATTCTACATTATATATATATATAATTATATATATAATATATTATATATATATATAAATATATAATATATATATATATATATATATTAATATATATATATATAATTATATATTTATATAATCTATATTATTGACTTGTGTAGCTAATTATTTTATTGAAACAATAAAAAATAACTTAAAGCAATATTATATATTAAGGCCTTATAGAAATGAAATTATATTATAGCCTTTATATTATAGTAGTAGTTATATTAGATTGTTTAGATTGAATCTTAAACATCCTGGGATATGGAATCATAGCACATTAAAAATTTTTCAAAAAAAGAAATATTACATAAATCTTCTTTATTTATCTTCTATTCTAAAATAAGAAAATTGAGTAAATGGATTTCATATTGTGACCGTGTGCGAGTTCGAGTAAATTGATGGTAAATTAAGGGAATTAGTAAATTATGTCAGCGAATGGTGGCATGTACCACAATTTCGAGTAGGGTAAATTAGATAAAAATTAGGTAAAGTTGGTGTTACCATTGTGAAAATTTTATAGGATGTTTAATAAATAAATTTGAAAACTTTTAACCAAAAATAATAAATAAGAGCAATAAATAAATAAATAAATATTTATATAAGTGCAATGTAAAAAAAATTTTAATTTACTTTATCTCAATTTACTCGAACTTGCACACGGTCATACTACATAGCTCTAAACCATTTCGTAAGCGTTACAATTTTTACTAATATAAATTTAAGGTTCTGGTGAGTCTTTCATTATACGGTGTTTCGGTGTTTATACAGGTAGCATTATATTATTATATTTCTCAATAGGAAGGATGAGTAAGGAAGAAGAAAGCACACTAAATGTGTCGTGTTAAAAGTAATGGAAGTAAATGCTAAAGTTTTGTAGCGTGAAATAAAGTAATTGTAAAAAGATGGATAAGAGAAGCGTATAGTGTGATTATATATTATTTGAATCAAGGATTTTTAATTATCTTACAACCTTGGTTCAGCAGACGCAAAACTCCATTGGACTCAGTTTTGTTTGTGTTTTAGGATGATTTAACATATGATGGACGTTGTAAGCTATAGAGCTGCAGTTTGAAGTTGAAACTGCTACGTCTTTGAGTTACTCGCTCTATTCAGCCAGGAAAAATAATTTTCCATTTTTGACAAAGCTCCATCTCGTTTAATTCTTTATTAAGGGGCTCAGTTCATATGCTGATAATCACTTCTTTCTTTGCTATATATTCCCCTATTTTTGTTTTACATATGTCAAGTCTTAGTTGGAAGCAAGCTAGTTACAGTAATTCCGTTTTTTCTGGGACTTTGTGCTGTTATATACAAAGTACATAATATGTACATATAGGTATAACAATAATAGCACCACTAACATTTATTGTTCTCTAGCATATTTATCTAAACTTTTAATAATATTTAATTATAATTATTTACAGATACTCTGGAAAACACTAGCAGAGAAGTGTCGATCATCATATAGACCCTATGAAATCGATATTAAGATTTCGCTTCCAATCGCTTGGTTCAGTTCCAATCACTATAGTCGTCAATTTTATACAACTACAGTTTAATTTCAACATCGCATAGAAGAGACAGATTTTATAAACGTTAAATATCATTATCAATAGAAATTGATAACCAAATGCTTAAGTCTTAAGAGCTTTCGAATATAAATGATGCTGAGCAGGACAATAAATATTTAAGAGTATACGTTTGGCCACTATAAAGTGTATAGTATTTGATAATGCGTACCTTGGGACACCTGATCATATTCCAAAATAATCAATTTTGTAAAAAAACTTAAAATTAACATTTTCAATTGAGAAAATTGGACAAAAAAAATTAATTTTATAAGTGATAGTTTGCAAGTCTGGAATACAGAAGGATCCAAATTGACTTTCAACCGAAACTCTGAAAATAAGGAGTAATAGAGTGACAATCAATATAATGTCTGACAGTTAAGTAGGCCTTACCCGCATTAAACTCATGAATCTCCTTAATAAACCGGGACAAAATAATTAAATTACCCCTTGTGGTAAATTTTGGGGACGTAAAGGACATGAAGGCAAACAAAGGCTGACCGTCCCGCTAAACAAGTAGCTCAAGGTAAAATAATTGGACCTCAGCCATGTTGTAGTCTGGCGAGAGGGGATATAGTGGACTGCTTCAGATACTGGGAAAACTCCCAATAATAGATGAACTGTAAAGGTTAGATACAAGCTACGAGATTTATCAACCAACATTAAGTACTTTCTAATAGTCTCCTTATTAGAGACTATTCTCTTTTCCTTTAATAAAAAATACGTTAAATTTGTTTAAAAGATGTTTTATTTGTAGTTACTTAACATTTGTTAAATACATTGTAAATATTTTACATTTTTATTTTTAGTTACACTATAAATATTGAGATATTCTAGAAAAATTTATAAGAATTTCTCATTATTTTTACACAAATCTTTTAAACAATTTTTATTAATGTTCGTTTGGTTAATAATGATGATGTAATTAAATTAAAAAAAATTTTTATATTAATATTGAAATTAAAAGTTAGTTATATTAACTAACTATAAAGTAAAAGTTATATTAATATTAACTTTTACAAAAAGTATAAATTTTTTTCATGCAATTGAGAGGGTGGACAATGTATGCTTTCAGCAACTAAATAAGCCAACTTATGTGCATACTGACAAACAGCCGGGACACGACAGGTACCTGTGTAATTATAGTACATGTGGGTCATTTTGTAAGTAAGCATTTGTATACGATCTGGAGTGAGACCCATGGTATCGTAAATTACATTATAACTCGTTGGAGAAACCGTTCCCTGGCGTACACTTTGTGAAACTATGAAGAAATCATAACGTTCCGGCAATGTTATAATATCATCTACAACTGTTCCTGGTGGTGGATTACAATTATTAATGAACAGCCGAGTATTTAAACGTTTGGAAACAACTATGAAAGCGAAACGTGGTACAATTTCATGTTTTCCAGCCGCTTCATAGATTTCTTGTGCCTTGATTCGTAAATGGTTAAGCTCAGTATTTACTACTTGATGCAGTTGACCATCGCCGACACCATCTCTATAAAACAGAATTCTTTCAGGTAAAGTTCCGTGTTCTTTAGCATATGCTCTCAAAGCGAATGTGAAATGCAGTATAATATCATTGGACAGCTCTTGAAATTTTTGGTGCTTACTAACAGCCGAAAAATATCTTGATGAACAGCGCACATCCATTGTGGCAACAAGGGCGCTATAAGAGGTATTCTTATCCTTGGAAGAATGACAAACATCAAATCCAACTGTCATTAGACCCTTGAGAGGTAGATCAATCATCCAAGGAATACCACGAAGTTTGGCGTTCATTTGTATGACAACTTTAGTAGCGATTGACATCAAACCTGCACTTTTTCCTGAAGTAGGTGCTATCATTTTCATAGTCACAACTTGTGAAGCTATGGGACGATCGATGCAACACTTCTTTTTAATGACAGAGTACCTGAAACACAATGTAATAATGAAATAATGAAAGTATATAGAAATATGTATATTAAATATTTACTTTTCCTCGTTGGGTTGTTGAATAACAATCATTAAAATTTGAGGATCCTCTGATGATGCCATTTCAACTGCGGTTGTATAAGACTTATTACGATCGTCATCCATTTCAATGCTATATTAGGTAAAAACAAACAAAGCAAAGAAATTTAAGGTTAATTATATTTATAAGACAATTTCTTGTTAAACTATTAAAGCGCACTAAACAAGTGCTTTAATAAAGTTTAAATTACACTCTGAAGGTGTATATAATCTGATTTTCCATAATGTCAAGGCTATTTAATGACAGCCGTCGAATTTTAAAGTTATGAGATATGATCTCATATTTATCTTCAATCTTTCATTCCTTATGTTGAGTATGTTGAGGACATACTTTGATATGTCACTGTAATTTCGAGTTTGAGGTACATTGTTAGACGGTTTTTAAGTTATAAAGTGCCAAGAATGGAGACAAGAATGGCTTCGTTAATAAAGCAATAGTAAGTTTTTCTCGAACTATTGTAGAAGCACAATAGTTCAATACTGCCGTCCGTTTCAGGCCCACAACATTCGGAAAATTCGCATATTACGTTTATCAAGCTTGTCGTCATTTTTAGAGTCCTCTTAAAAAATTCACAAACAAGTTACAATATTCATTCCCTCGGCAATTAAAACTAAACATTGCAGTTTCCTGCAATATTACTGCCAAGGAAACAATTGACTTCATAAACATATAGGTCTATCATATGGTATATATAAGGAGTTTTATGTTTTAATAATCTATTTATAAGTAGTTTTGAGGTTTAAATAATAATACATATTCTTCTTTAACATTAAATGATACAATTTGTCTTATAAGTACTTACTATTTTGGTGGGACCAATACCAAACTCATATTTTTTGCTACCTTGATACACATTTGAACAAACGATTGAGTTTCACGACAATAACGCGATGGAAGGATTACTTGCCAACGACTTATTTTGGCATTACAAAACATTGAACAGTTTCGGAACTCACGGGTCCAGTTAGCTTTCCCATCACATATATATCGAACACCACGACCTAGTAAGATTTTTTCACAGGGTAAAATACGTGCTGGAATTTTAAGTAAATCCTTATCCAATTTCATATTCCACTCTTGAAGAACCTGTGTACTTTTAGCAGAAGAATTGAGACGTTCGTTGAAATTTCTTAAGCGCTCTAGTCTCCTTTCCGGATTAAGCCGAGTATGATCGCTCATCGATTTCATGAAACTAAAATAAAATATCAAAAAAATAACAGTTCATCTGTTGTTATAACAGAAAAAATATTACTTACCGAACGTTTGTTCTCATATGATCAGTTATACCAGTTGCACGCGTGAACTCTGGAATCAATGAGATAAATTCTTCTTGACCGCCACGTATATGCTTATTGGTTGGTTTCGATATTAACATTGGTTGACTGGAGTCGGTGACGATTAGATTATAACGCTACAAATATTGGAACATTTCAAAGGTGCATTAGTATATGTACTATAAAAATGTATATATATCTAATATCTCTTATATTAGAATATCTTTCTGAAGTCCAACATAATAATATATCATTTATTTGTTTAATTTATAATGAAAATAGTGATAAAATATATAATGATAAATAATAATAAAAATGATAATTAATAATAATAATAATAATTAATAATAATAATTAATAATAATAATAGTAATAATAATAATAGTAATAATAATAATAGTAATAATAATAATAGTAATAATAATAATTAATAATAATAATAGTAATTAATTATAATAATAGTTGAAAATAATAATAATTAATAATAATTATAATAATAAAAATAATAATTAATAATAATTAATTAAAATAATAATAATTAATTGCAATAATTAATAAGAGTAATATTTAATTACAATAATTATAATAATTAATTATAATAATAAATAATAATAATAAGAACGATAATTATTAATAGTATTGGTAATTATTATTAATATTAACAATAATTATTAATAAAAATGGTGACAATAATAAATAATAATAATAATAAATAATAATAATAATGATAATCAGTGATAATGATAATTAATAATAATAATGATAATTAATAATAATAATGATATTCAGTGATAATGATTAATAATAATGAGTGATTATCGGTGATAATGATAATTAATAATAAAAATGGTAATCAGGGACATGATAATTAATACTAATAATGTTAATCAGTGATAATGATAATTAATAATAATAATGTTAGAATAATTCGGATGCAGAGCTATAACTTATTTCTGTGAACGAATATGCTATCAACGCATTAAATAAATTTTCATTTACTATCTAATATTATTAACTTTTTATTAGTCACTAAATATATATGTTGAATATGGTTTTAGAATTAACCCAACAAAAAAAGTATATAAATATATATATAAATTATACATAGCCTTATTTATAGCCTTATTTAAATCAGAATATGAACTATTGCTACATTTTTTAATTTATAGCTATCAGCTTCCTGCTGGTATAATAGTCGCAATAGTAGTTAATAATAGTATATAATACTTGTACTACTCAACTACTGGTAAATTTCTAAGAAGGATTATAATAAATTATAAAAAGATTGGGAACTATTTGTTGATATATACAAATATATTTATATCATAATAATTAGTTTTGTTTATAGTAATAATTGTATATATTTAAAACCTAAACTTACCGATTTAAAATATTCAGCAAATGAAACTTTCGTATCTTTCAATGAAAATGTCGATAGAGGAGAACTCGCAAAATCAACGTCAGTTATACGATAAGTTTTATTGTTATAATCAGTTAGCACAATAGAGCCTAAAATAAAATAAGATCCATATAATCATATGTATACATACATTATTTCTGTTGCTTACCAATGACTTCAGTCTTAAAAGCTTTTTGATAGTCTTTAGTTTCGACCGTTAGTTGACGAAGTATGCTGTAAAGACTTTCGATGCGCATTATTTTGTGTGTAATCTCAGCGCAGAGAAGAATATCGCGCTCATGTTGACGAATGGATGTAATATAACCCGGCCAGATTTCTATATGACACGGGTCAATGTTCATCTGCAAGTATACATATTATGTGTGAAATAAATATATCTATAAATGATATATGATGTTTATTTTAAAATGAATATATGTAACACAAATTTGAGAACATTGCAAAGTAAGAGTAGTATGTCTAAAGCTCTGAATATGTTAAATATTCTGCTAAAGTTTGATTTTTAAAATATTGTACTTTTTTCTATTTTCAGCACGGAGATTAAAACATACAATAGCCGCCTCTTTGACCTCACTAAGTAATTAAACCATAGCGAAAACATTTATAATTTATCAAACTAAAAATTCTTGTTAGTCGTAAGAATATTTACTAGTTGCATTCTTACAAAAAAAAAAACAATGTCACATTTACCTTAGCATAAGGATCAAAAAAATTATGGGCTATCCTTTGTAAGTCTAGTCCAACCATTGATTGACGTAAGATTAAATTCAATACTTGGAACAGTTGAGCCTCATTTGGATCCACAATTCCAACATTTTTAAAATTAATAAGCACCGTCTTTCCATCATGATACTCAGACGTTAAATGGAATTCATGCCCCTTTTTAGTACCTCTTAAATCATTAGTAGTAAAAAGCATTGTCCCATCAAATATATATCCACCAAATTTTGCCTTCTGTTGGGCAATTAATGTACGACGAACAAAGCTCATATCTATTTCCGGTACAAAATCTACTCTATATTGATAAATGTTCCATTCGGGTTTCTTTAAGATCTTGAAATAGTTCGTATCGAGAGTGACATGGCGTCCAGTTTCACCCATTTTGGAAACACAAGTTTGTGGCCGTGTAAACAAGGAATCCAACAATGGTGCATGCGCTCCACCACGATTACGTCCACCTAATGTGAACAAACAAAATTATGTATTAATTTAAATAAAACAAAAATTATGTTAAATATAGTATTTTATTTATATTCTTATAAAATATTGCAATAATAATGTTATAAATACCACGTTCTCCGTGCCCTTCGCCTAGAATTATTTTGAAAGAAAAAATTTAAGAAATAATAGGTAAATTTTTAACTTAAAAATATATTTATTTCAAAATTACCTTTCGGCTTAGCAGCAGCAACACCAACTACAATAAATAATAAAAAAAATCATTTTATGAATTTAAAAAAAAATACAAAAAAGTAAGAACATTACAATTAGCTATGGAGTCTTCAATTTGAGTGCAACTAGACGATGAACTTGAAGTTGACGAAAATGATGACACATCTGAAGGCGAGTTCGGAATAGGTGGAGATATTTTAATACGACGAAGCAAATTTGGTGTTTATATAGAAAAATAAAAATTAGAATATATTTAATACTTATTTTGGATAAAATAAATGTACTAAAAATAAATAACATATATCGTGTCTTAATACCAGTAGCATTAGAATCAGGTTTTGCAGCCTGGGGCGATGCTAATATTGCCCTCGGACGAACAGAAATTGAACCGCCGCGTGGCTTAAAGGTGTCAGCAATCAATAATGGTCTAAATACATTAACAGAAGGTGGTATTCTTGGTCGAAAAGACATCTATAATAAAATTTGACAATTATTGTTGTTTTATACATATTAGGTTTATTAGAAGTATTTATTTATTTATTTATTAAAAATATTTTTATAATAAAATATTTTTATTATATATATTTTTTAATTTTATTTTCTTCAAACTGTTCGAAAGTAATAATGAAATACTAACCCTGGGACCCGTAAAGGTCATGACCGGACGAATACCAATTTTTCCAATTAGTTGAGGTGAAGTAATACGAAAACGTGGTCTTGCGTTTGGTGGAATTGACATTGTTATTTTTAATGTATATTAAATCGATATATTTAATATATATATTAATCTATATTAAAAAAAAGAAAATATGTTTTTTTTTAATCAAATGATATTTACAAATTTAAGATTTAATTCTTTTAAAACTATTATCAACAAAAAAGAATTGAATGAGAGAAAAAGTGATGTGATGAGTGAGTATGGATTAGATTTAGGATATTTATATAGGATTTAATTTACAATAATATTACATATATGTATATGCATTTAAATATAATGATATATATAAATATGTATGTTTTATAATAAAATGTTTTAATTTTATATTTAATTTTTTGGTTAATTGTTTGTATAAAACTTCTGATATAATAGAAGTCAGATAGATAGTTTCATATAAGCACAAACTGACTACATAGAAATATTCTACCATACATATAACAAAGATTTTTACTGATAATTTTTGGGAAATCCTTTAAAATTAAAATAAGTTAATAAGTGTCAATCACACCTTTGTATTTGATAGGAACGGAATAAACAAAACCGGCGAACTTTGTTAATTTCGTTCCTGTCAAATAGACAGGTTTGGATGGTTGTGCATTTAAGTTCTTCCGGTACCTACCGACTAACTCAACCTTAAAGCCGTAATCAATGTGTGAATTCCAATTCACCGATTACAAAAATGGTAATCAACGATCGGATAATTGTCTACATAATATGACCCGACTCAAACCTACGTTGAAAACAACAACAAATGTTGAAATGGATGAACATCTGTATAGCGTATATATCCTTAGCAATTTGCAAAATAAATTTTTTAAACTAATAGCCCTGCCGGAATAACTTTTATGGAAATAATTAATATGATTTCCAGTTATAAAAATAAAAATTGACATATAATCAAGTAAATCAACATTAAAGGAAAAAATTAAAACTTACTGTTTGCAAGCTGGATGCTAATTTTACTGTTATAAAATTTTCAAAAATCAATTGGTTTTAATTAATATTTATATATTAGATTTTTAACAAAGAAAAACAAACGTCTCAACTTAATAACACTTTTACTTTGAATATTTACTTTTTTATTTAATACGCTACTATTTCACTTTAGTAATATTATTTGTTAAACATTAATAATCATTCGCGGTTAGTAGAAAAACTAAGTTGCGCACACGAGAAATTGCTGAAACCAAAAAGCACATAACACACTAAATAACGAAAGGACAGATAATGGTAAAACAAAATGGCGGGACGAAACAATAAAACGAAATGAATCGGGAATTTACGATCAAAGCGAACTCTACGCACCACACAAGTTGGGGAAATGCTTTAAAATTGCAAAATATTGTGAAATTATATTCGTATACACCAAACACTTCAATATTATCGAAAACTAATTTTTTCTTTGTGTCAAAAAACATATTTCTATCTTATTAAATGAACGATTAAATAAATGTTGAGTACTACAGTAATTTAACATGCTTCATAGTACAAAAGCAAATAATGAACACTGCATTTGTCCAGAAACTTATTATAATAATCAACTAATATAATATATCAACTTTATATATAGCATTAATATCATTTTAAATATATAATATCGTTTACCTGTAGATTAAGTTTTTAAGATCTCTTATATTTTGTTAACAATTAGAATTGAACACTTTACAAACTGAACTTGCTCTGGAAGAACTCTGAAAAAGGAAGAAAATAATTAGCAAAGTTAGGTGCTATAGCACGAACATAGCCGAAAACTAACGAAGTAGTTAAAATGCCGCGTTTTTTTTTCTTCACGAAAATCAAAATGTCATTTCTACAATATCTAATAATTAACTGTGTACTAAATCATATATATAATTTCATTAAAATACTAATTTAATGAAATTCAAAGCAAAAATCAGCAGCTCATAAAATAATTAACAATAAATACGTTACTTTTATCATTTTTTTTTTTTAATTTGAAAAAATTGTTATTGCGAAGTTCTATAAAACAATACTTGGGTTAAAAATTTAATTAATTTCTTTTAAAACAATAATATTAGCACTATTGTCCATTAATATAGTCTCACATATTAATACATTCGAAGAGTAATCTTAGTGTTACTTTGAAGCATTTATTGATAAAAATGCAAATAATTAAACAAATATGAAGATTTAATTTCAGTAAAAATTTAGATTGCAAAATTTTCGAAAAAAACTAAATCATAACTATAATTAATTGCTGTTCACTTACAACAATCAAAAATATCCGCGGTAATATTTTTACGCACTGGTATTTTGAAAGCACAGTCGAGAATGAACTATTAGGAAGGCGCGCTATTTTCTTGCAAGGAATTAGCGAATCAAGTACATAAAAAACCGCATGAAACGGAAATGAAGCTTTAATATGAAATCTAGATATGACTCTTTTAATATTTGAGATAAAGAACTAATTAACAAATATAATTAATATAACATTAAATTTTAACAAAATATAACAATTAATATTTGTTATAATAATAAAACAAATACATATATATATTTTTTTTTATATAATTTTAATAAAAATAATAAAATTAATAAATATATATTCAGCTTACCTTTAATAATTTATAAAAATATTGATCTCTGCCGTATGTTGTGACTTGACAAACGCAAAAGATTGAATGAGAACTAATATTCAAGTACGATAAAGGAATATTTCTGATATTTCAAAGAATGACATTACTAAACTTGACCTAAAATCTATGTACAAAGTATCGATATTGACGTACAATAGATTTTATCAATTACACTGTTATGGAGGATCCTTGTTTTCCCGCAAAGCAAAAGTATTATACATTATATAAATAATATCACAACATACATATATTATTCTTTAATAATAAACATTATTTTCTTCTTCTGAATAAGCATTTCCTTGTGTTTAATATAATTTATTGGTAGTAGTTGGTACTAGGATAAAAATATAGTTTTGAGTAAAATTATACATTTACACGGTGACATCAAACTGATTTTGGCTTTTATTTTGATAAGACTATAATAATTAGTCAAAATTGCTACACAAAATTTATTAAAAGATACACGAAATTAAGTATGAATATATATTTTTAAAGCTGTTAAGGCTGAATTTGTTGTGCCGCAAGCAATCAGCTGATTCGTTCTACCTAATATAATATATACCACGTTTACGCGACCCTTAAAATCACTTTTAAAACTGATTTTAAAAATAGTTTTTAGAGCATTTACCCAAAATATTTAAATGCACTTTTAAGGTAGCTATCAATCAATCAGCCGTTAAGCGAAAAACAAAAATGTTGATTTTAAATAATTTGAAATGGATAGAATAAAACTGCAAATTGTTTTACTTTTATTGGAAAAAAAAGATATTATAATCAAAATAGTACAAGAAAAGAATAAAACAACAATGGATATTTTAGAAATATCCTGTATAAAATTAACAAAATTACGAAAATGCGATTACAACTCTTTAATAAAATGACAATACTCAAATGCTTTTTTTTTATCACTTATAAATTTACAAACTGCTTTCAATGTACTCGAATCTATCAAACATATTTATTGTAAAGTATAGATTTATATAATTTTATAAACAGATTTAATTTATAGATAAGCATAACTTTGATTTTAACCAGTTTTTCTCATTAATATTACCAAACATATTTAATGTACTAAAATGAATAATAGTAATCGTTTTGTAAAATGTATGCAATGAAGAATAATACCTACAGCCTAAATAGAGCCCTAAAAGAGCGAAATTTGACATAAGCTTGGTGAAATAACATGTGACCAAAATGTTATAAAAAATGAATTTTTGGCAAAAATTTCCCACGTTATTCTCAGAGAGCAAAGAGTTTCTTTTCTTATTCAGATATTCTTTGATCATATTTTAACCGAAAAACTATATTTAAATTTGTTTCAAATTTATTTTTATTATGACTGTTTTAGTTAATATAATTAAAATAAAAATAAATATTTTACAATATATATATTGAGTATTTATTTATAATAGTATTTATGTAAGTACATAAGTATTATACTTATTCTTTTTTTGTGTTGGGAATTAACACATCCAACTTATTGTTGATGCTTTTTAATACTTAATACTGTACTGTCTCTTGAAATATCTAGTTCAGGATTTTCATTTTGCTCATCAATGAGGCGTTTAACTTTTTCGAGCTCTAATAAGTAGGTGTCATTCTGCGCCTTTTTGGGTTTCGGTGGTAAAGTAGGCCAATGCCTACTTGAGTCTACTTGCTATATGAGCGTTGGAAAACGATGTTGTTATCTACAATTTCTACATTCTCAAGAAAGTCCATCTTAAAGAAATCTAATTGCTGATACTGTAGGAGAAAACAGAAATTATTATCATTCATATGTAAAACCAAAAACCATTTCTTTTATTTGACAGAATGTCTGCTTCAGGGATATTTTTATTCCCATCCACTGCATGCTCTTAAATTAATACCATCACCTCCTTTTCCATTTCGTCAAGAGTTTTCGGGCCTTCACTACTCTAGTCACTGCTTTTTTTTATTTATTTTGTTGATGATGAATGTAGTACTAAATAAAATTAAAGTAATAAATAGCACTTGAACTAAAAGTACAAGTTCACACGTACAAGTACAAATTTATTCACTTTAACTTACTTTTTCCATTGCTCTGGAGTTTTGTTAGATCCTCCAGAAGCATTTAGTTCTTCAGCACAGTTTCGCTAAAAGTTTTCAGTCTTTTTATGACCATCTGGACCCGAAAATTGACAAATATTTTGCTTTAGCAGCTATAATAATATATAATTTTGTATATAATTTTTCGACACACGACTAGACAAAATTTTTTTCTAAAAAATTGCAAATGAAATAAATATTTCAATTTATTAAAAATACTTATTAATACATATGAAATTATAAATGCATATATTTCTATATAATTATTTACATCACTCATTACAAAAATATCACATCACTTTTAATAAATATTTTATTTAAATAAAACAAATGTTTTCACTATTACTTCATATAACTTTAAATTAAAATTAAAAACATCTCGGAAGTAAGTGAGAAAAAAATTCACCACAGTTACATAAACACTTCGAGTGACTAATTTTCAAAAGTGAGAAAATCTTTCCGGAAAACGAAGTTAGAAAACTACATTAACGAGTCACTGGTCTGGATACTTGGTGTGCAGTACATGTCTGCATCGTCTATAATATGCTTATCACAAATAAAATGCCAGATTACGTTCTTTACACAAATTTCTATGGAGGAGCTTTATGTAAAGTCTGGTGAGAACAGCTGTTTTTTGAAAAACAAGACAGTAGAAATATAAGTTAAAAAACTAGAGCGCAAAACACAAGCGCAAATATTTTTAAATATTAATTAAAATGAATTTATTTATATTAATTTTTTTATATATATATATATATATATATATATATCTATGTATATAGTTATATATATTAAGTATTAATATATATTATATATTAATATATATATATATATATATATTAATAAATATTAAATATTAATTAAAATAAAAAATGTTATTGATGGTATTTACGTTTTACTCCAATATTTTACTTCAATAAATAAAATTACTAACGCATTTTAATATTCGTAAAATAAATAATATATATAAATAATAATATAAATAATAATAATAAATATAAATAATATTAATAATAATACAAAATCTAATTCAAAGAAAACTTTCTTATTGTATTCGTTTGCCGACCCTTGCTTTGAAATTGTTTTACTTGTCAGATTTGACGGTTGGATACGTGGGGAAATAAAAGTAAAAGAAACCAACAACAAAAACAGAAAAGTATTTTGTTTTTAGAAGACATTGGTGTGTGCTTCTCTTTAACGAAATTCAGTTGCAAACAAGAATTGTAGCGGAGTGGATGCGTGGCGCTCTTTTATTTTTGGTTCGAATAAAATTACAAAAAAGTTGAGTGTTGCGTATTTGAAAATTCAAAAAATTTAAAAAAAAAAAAAATCAGAGAAGTGACATTTGAAATTTAAAAAAAAACACATTAAACAAGAATAGTTAAGTAAAAATTTATTTCAAATTCACAAGTTTGTTATTTATTGGTGTGTTCAGTGATTTTGGTTTGTAAACTGCCGTGCTGCGCGAAATGTGTAGCAATAATAATAATTATAAATAAACAAAAAAAAAACTGAAATAGAAAATATTAAAAGTTCAACAATTAGAAATTAATTAAAAACCAACAAAAAAAGGTTAGTAAAATTCAAAAATTCTTGCACTTGTTATATTTTTGAAAGATGATAACGGCAAAAAAGTAACAACAAAATTTCAATAGCAGGGCTATTTAGTTGAGTTATGTGTGGAGCGGAGCACAGCAATAGCAGTGCGGCAGAGCACAGTGCTGCTATTGGAATTTTTGCCGTAACTGCATGCGTAGAATAAAGAGCGCACAGCGCAATTGAGCTTGTATTGTGTTTATAGGGAGCAACCAACTAATGTAAAGAAATGTCGTAGTGCTTTTATGCTTTTGTTTTCTGAGTAGTAGTTCTTGTTGTTTTTGTTGTTGTGATTGTTGTTGTGATTGTTGTTCGTGTGTTTGCTGCTATTTGTGTTGTGTTTGAAATACGACTAATAGCCAAGCAAGTTATGAGAATACAACAACAGCAAAAAAGGTTAAAATGAAAAAAAAATTTAGAATTTGAATGTGTGTTATTTGTGTTGTTATTTTGAAAGCCGCTTTTTTCTAGTTGTTGTTGTTACTGTTGCCTTTGGTTTTTATGTAAAATTTGTGTACGTTTTGCTTTTAATGTAAGCATTTACATAATTTATTCAATTTTATTTTCAATTTTATTTAATTTTAAAATTAAAACACTAACGTTTCGTTTTAATAAATTTTATTTAATTTGTAAAAAATTTTTTTTATTTTTTTACATTCATGCAATGACGAGTTTTTATTTTGTTTTACCAGTGCAAAAAAAGCGCCATTTTTCAGAAGAGCGAAAAATGACAAAATAAAAAATTCTTTTTTATGACTTTTTTTTTGCAATTGTTTTTATTTATTTATTCCTTTTTTTTTTATTTACTTATTGTTTTTTTTTTTTGATTTAAATATACCTTTTGGGTTGACAGTGTGAAAATATATAAACAAATTAATTTTCGTAATTATTTTAGAATTCCACACAAATTTGACATTAAAGTGTTACCTAGAATCTAAAATAAGGCCATAAATGTTATATTGCGTCCAGACTCTGCTAGGTTGAATTTCTCCAGTTATTTGATGG